ACATCCACATTTTTAAAATGTGAATGTTCCCAGGATAAAGGGATGTCTGGAAGTGCCCAGAATTGGTAAAGTTACTTGGACTATAATTGCAAGGATCTCTCAGACGACTGCTGGGAATCGTATAAAAGGTAATGGTTTCTCTTTAACATAGTCTAGTCGTGTCCAACTCTGGGGAGTGGTGCTCATCTCCATTTCTAAGCCAAAGACCTGGCGTTGTCCATAGACGCCTCCAAGGTCATGTGGCCGGCGTGACTGTATGAAGCACCGTTACTTTCCCGCTACAGTGGTACCTATTGACCTACTCACATTTGCATGTTTTTGAACTGCTAGGTTGGCAGAAGCTGGAGCTAACAGCAGGAGCTCACCCAGCTCCACAGATCTGAACCGCAAACCTTTCAGTCAGCAAGTTCAGCAGCTCAGCGGTTTAACCCGCTGTGCCGCCGGAGGCTCCCTGGAGTCATATACGGGTTCTCATATTTGGATCTTTGAACAAAACTTCCCCAGGCTTACTGAGGGTTCATCCTTCTTTCTGCCATCAGACAGGAGGGAAATTGTTCAGGCTTGAATGCAAGTGTTTGGGACTCCAACTCCCAGAAGCCCTAGCCAGCTTGGCCAATGGTCAGGAGTTCTGGGAGCTAAAGTCCAAAACACCTTGAGAGTCACAGGTTCTGCAGGCTTACAATGTTCCTCCTTTCATTTCCTGTCTCCCCTACAGGGAGCGAATAAGATTGGAAATGGGAAACTTAGGTGTGATGGAAAAGAGAAAGAGAAAAATGAGAGGAATACCACTTCTCCAAAGATTACTTTAGGTACATAGCTGAGTGCAAAGTATGTGATGATCAATAAGATAAATGCTAATTTGGGGTGTGAGGTTTGAAAGGAAGTAAGTTCAAAGACAATAGATCCAAACACAAGAAGGAAAAACAAAAAAAAGTTACTGAGAGGCATGGCAATAGATGCCCAAGTAGTATACACAGCAAAACCACGTTTACCTGCTTCAGAAATCTGTTAGATGCTTGACTGTACTTTGCTAGCACATTTGATAGAGTAGTACTTGCATACTCAAATTGGGGGTTATAGATAAAATCTGAGTTGAAAAACTTCATCTTCTCCCTCTCCACATTGGAAGGCTTGATGGCAGTGAGAACACAGAACTTCCTTCCAGCAGCGTCTCCTTCTTTTAAACAGCTTTTGGACATCTGCAGTGGTTTTGGTTTCGTCAGGTTGGTGAAGGAATGCCTTTTTGCCTTGGTTTTGACTTGAGCCTGCAATCCTATGCTGCTTCCTGCCACAGAAATGCTGTGCGTTAACTTAACACTGCTAGGTACTGGGCTGGTGATAAAAAGAGAAGGCTGTTTACTGAGGCAACACCACCCATTTCTGAATAAAGGCACAGGGGCCTTAATCTTGTGACGTTCATTGCTTCGGGAACCGCTAATTGGTTTTGTGGATTTCCGCAGTCTTTTGTGGCAAGTTGAGGAATGCTTCTGGAAAAGGTGTTTTTTCTCCTCTTTGCTCTGCAGGATGACATTATAGCTACTAGTCCCTGTGGTGAATGTGTCCTTAAGAATTCGAGGCCGGGATATGTGCTGAGTGCTGATGTTTTCATTTTTAAGGATCGACTGGTGCTCTTCAGGACTCAATACTGTTTTCTTGGAGAGCTCTTGCTGAGGCCAATGGAGTTTTTCTGTATGAAAATAAAAATAAAAATAAAATGAGTAAATATGCTGCCACTTATTTATACATAGTGGTGAAGCACAATGCCCAAATAATTCTAGTCCCTATTCCAAATTAGATACTGGAAATGAGGTGATTAAAAATACAATAGTTTAATTCTGCAGAAGAACTAAGTGTTGGTTACGATCAGATCGAGCCAAGAAAGTGCCAAGGTAATGCCATGTTTGATTGTTCCTGCATCATGGATTTTATAGTCTCAGATTGACGCAAACACACATAATAATAATAATAATAATATTTATTTACTTTGCTTATATACCGCTGTATCTCAAGCCCGAAGGCGACTCACGGCGGTTCACAAACAGTAAAAACAGTAGAAACAGCAGTGGTTCCATACAACATATAACAATTGACTTAACACATTATCCATAAATTACCAATAAGCAGTTACAATGCACAATTATTACAAAAAACAACCGTACCCAATCTTCTCATCATCCAAGCGTAGTCCAGGTTCGTCGTCCCTTGTTCCATTCCTATGTTCCATTACCAGATTGCACTAAATTACTCAAACGCCTGCACAAACATCCAGGTCTTCACCTTTTTGCGGAATACCATTAGAGATGATAATAACAACAACAACAACAACAACAACAACAACAACAACTCAGGTCAGATTCCAACAAAAAATATAAAACATTTGAAGGTGAAGTTCGTAGAGAAACAACTACTTCTAAGTTGGATGCGAGAGACATCTGTTCCGAAACAGTTCCCTGAAAGATCTCTCCTACCATCAGCATAGACCTCAAAGTAAACTTTTCTTCACTTTCCTGATGAAATGCTTGGCTATTCCTGCACTAACAGCAAGAAAGATAATCTCACTGATTCTGTATCTTATTACCTGCAACGAACAAAATGGCTGGAGTCCTGCTGGATTTGGCATATGCTAGTGTATCACAATACCTATGTTAGAGGAAGAAAGAAATGTGTAGGTAATGCAAGCATAGCAGGAGCCAAAAGGCTATGGATGCTGCAATGACGATGGAAGAAAAATACTATGATGCGAGAGGGGCTCAGTTGGTACATGTAAGGATTGTCTGACAGCACTTTGCTTTCCAGGGAAGGGGGAAGAAAAGGCAAAACCTGACCAAAGTAACAAAAAATTCTCCAACTCACGCAATAGTTATAACTCAATAAATATGCCAGGTAATAGTTGGTTATTTTCTTGTTCCCATTGAATTAAGCTACAAAGAATGTATACAGTAGGCACAAAATATTCATGAAATTGACAGTGGAGTTTGCTAGCTTAATAATTCTGGAAACTTGTTCAATTACTTCAAACATATAAATGTTACCCTTTCAGTTCTGAGGAAATTACCATAACAAAGAGTCTATTATAAGACCAGTGTATCATGTTTTCAGGCACTGTGCATGATATATAATACTATAGTGATGGAGTGGGAGAAAAAGAAGTGAAGAATTTCTTTTACATTAAGACTTTCTGCAAACCTTAAAAAATGGGGGCAGAAAAAACTCAAGTCAATTCATTCTGGTTACATCAAAATAATGCACACGATTAGTCTGGTTTTATGACACATTTAAAGATGGCAATACGCCCCGGGTAGAATAGTTTCAGACTGATTTCATCATTTCAATCAGTGCCAGGCCACGGGTGCTTATCAAGCATGTTTTCCTTTGGCATGAACTGAAAGGCCCAACAAACTGCTATCCAAGCAAATATCAGGAAAAAAATGTTAAAGAAAAATACAGTGACAACACCGCATCAAAATAGCAGGATTTGACTTGATGAGTTGAAAATTTCCAAGGAGTTTAGCAAGGCTTGCCTCTGACTATTCATTACAAAACTATACTATGAGGACCACTCTCAACTTGAACAGAGAGGAAGTCCTGCCTTTCCAGGTTGAACCAAAGGGAGTAATTTCTCTCCTCTTTCTTTTCCTTACAGGTGAAAGAGAGATGGGCTAGAATATACACAAACTAGTGAAGCCTACCATAGCATTTCCCACAATCCAACACTTCAAGGCTGTCCAATTTGAAGATGCTTCCTTTTAGGAGTTGGTGGATACTGTGCCTAATCCCTGTTGAGAGAACATCACTTTGTACATACACAAAACGCTCCCTCGTCTCTCTGACTCCACTGTAGAAATTTGGACTATGTAGTTCAGGATTAGGAATCATGTGAAATTCGACTAATTTAGGGAAAGGAATCAAGTGATCCACCTTCCACCATAATCACCATGGCTATAGAAAACATTCTTTGTAATAGTTTTGTAAAATACCTCCCACCCCTCTGATAACACATTGTGTCTGATTTCATGTCTGTAAACAAAGTAGAAAAGAAAAGCCTTTGACTCAAAGGACCATATATTCAATTCGGATAGAGGGTTACTGTTTAATTCTAGTTTTCTAGAATTCTACTGTTTAATTCTGGTTATTGTTGCAAAGTGAGCTGCAGCAAGCCAGATTACACCTCAATCCAATACAGAGAATCAAGTCCTATTAAGTTAATCGATACTTATTTCCATGTAATTCATACAATTTGCATCTAAGTCTCCAATCTGCTATAACTAATTACGCCAGTAACCAACAGAACTTATGAGTTGTTATTCACAACTAGCTGTACCCGCCACACATTGCTGTGTCCAACATTCCCTCCCTCTTTCTCTCCTTCTTTCCCTCCTTCCTACGCTCCCTTTCCTTCCTTCCTTCCTTCCTTCCTTCCTTCCTTCCTTCCTTTTTCTTCTTTCCTTCTCTCCTTACTTCCTTCTCTTCCTCTTTCCTTCCTTTCTTCCTTCACTTTTTGCTTCCATTCTTCTCTCTTTCCTTCTTTCCTTCCCTCCCTCTTTCTCCTTCTTTCCTTCCTTCCTTCCTTTGTTCCCTCTTTCCTTCCTTTTAACATAACTTTTTTCTTTCCTTCTTTCCTTCTATACCTCTTTCCTTCCTTCACTCTTTGCTTCCATGCTTGCTTCTTTCTTTCTTTCGTACTTCCTTCCTTCCTTTTCTCCCTCTTCCATTTTCCTGTATCGTCATTTAGCTTTTTGGGGTATTTAAGTCCTTCCTGGATTTTTTTTTGGGGGAGGGGTATGAGTGATGGTCACTCGTTGGTCTGTTAGGGGTAGAGTGTCCAAATTTCATGTCAATTCATCCAGTGGTTTTTGAGTTATGTTAATCCCACAAACGAACATTACATTTTATTTATATAGATAGTACTGCAGCGTGTTTCCCCCTCCCCATGTCAAATGTTTTGTGGAACATCTTTTCATATTTCTCATAATCATACACAATTTTATAGTACCATAAAAATAATTATACAGGCTTGTATGATGGAGAACAATAGTTAAAGAGCTTGAAACTGCTGAAATCAAAGATTCCTCCCAAACTCACAAGTCCAACCCAAAGAACTAGCCTTTCTGCTTTCTACCATGCTAACTTTTTATCACGTTTTTGATAAACAAACCATTCCTACGTATACACAACAAACACATCACAGTCTTTTCACTTGGCAGTACTTTGAATACCCTGGTAAAGTTTCCATTTTTAAAGTCAGAGAAGTTCACAGGAGGAACTAGTCTTCACTATCCACAAAAAAGCAAAAAAAGTGCTTTTCACTTTCAATGACCTTATATCAATCAAATGAGTTTCAAATAAATCAACAAAGTCAAGTAAACATGACAATTTGCATCTCTTGTATGAAAAGTAAATCTTTATTTTCCATGGGAAAGGTTTGTGGCCTTTCAAAGGTTCCTGTACTGCAGTAAAAGAACCCTGTCTATACTTACTAGGTTTAATAGTTGGAGTCCCGTAAGAAAAAAAACAAAAGGATCACCCTGAATTTGGAGATGTGGATGCAGTTTGTAAAAGAGATTATGTCTTAAGAAAAAGGACTCATTGGCTCCTCAAAAACTTACATTTACAACCACTTTGTTTGCAGATTACCCAGAACACATTAAAGTTGTTTATACAAGGCCCCATTTCTAGACAAAAGTCAAAGAGCAGAATATACCTTTTAAGATCCTCTTAGCTTTCAAAGGCAAACAGGAAGATAATCAGAGGAAACCAACATCTGAACAGTATCTCACCATCTTTTAAGCCTGCCTTTCTACCACTTCTATTTGATTTCACTCCCAACCAAGACTACGATTTTGTTCGACCATGTCTCTAATATACTGTGCAATACTGCTGTTGACTGCATATATCACTTGCATGTAGCCTTAGAATGCCAAGTTAAAAAAGACTTGGGATACATACTTACAATGTTGGCATGGAAAGCTTTAGCCTACTGGCTTCCATTGCAGGCTGGAACTCTTCCCAGAAAACAGGCAGTAAAATTCCAGCATTTCCCAGCTTGATGACCCCTAGAAATACTGGGCTCCAATTCTATTCTTCTCCAGCCAGCCAGAAATGACTGCAGGAATTACATCTAGGAATGCATTGTTATTTCATTGCTCCCACTAAACCCAAACAGTTAGAACTATAAGCTAAATGGTGGGAGAAGGACTGCATCTCAGTGGGTCCATAAAGATAAATGGTCCAAGATTCTAGATTGCTCTAGATTGAGAACACTGCCATCTGAAACATGAAGAACTATCACCTGTCAGTGAGACACATAACACAATGGATTATTCGATATTTCTCAGTGTAAAGCAGTTCTTCATGTCCCTATGTATGAAAAATAAATTACAACTCTGCCTGAATGCTACTACAGTTTTTTCTTTTACATACATTCACTATAGATGGGCATTATTTAGGACCATTCAGCTTTTGCATCAAAACCCCAGTTTCACCATAGAAAAGGTGTATATTGATATACAAGTAGAGGGTAGGTTTTGGGGCCAAACTATGGATATTGATATGACCTGTAGATAAGCCAAGGTTCATACCGCAGAGAGGGGAAAGTGACAGTGTCACCCCTGGACACAAACACTGCTATTTTCCCACTTAAGCTTTCAAAAAGCCAGAAGTGCTACCAAAATAGAGAGATTAGAGGAA